CTCTCTCTCTCTCTCTCTCTCTCTCTCTCTCTCTCTCACCATACTATTTTGAAAACGTAGGTATTTCCAGTCATTTCGTCATTTTAAAATGCTGTAAACTTATAATCAATTGTATCGGTATTGAAAAAATCTTCTTCGTACACATGGATTACATTGAACGTAGGATGCTTCAGATATTATTTATTATTCAGAGCATAACTCAGTTTTCTCTCGAATAGTATCTTCTTTGCTTCTCTTTTGTTGATGATTGTTTGAAAAATTCATTAAGATGGAAATGTACCATTTTCCAAAAACTTTCAAGTCATCAAACGATATCCTACTTTCCGTTGTTTTTTGGGTTTTTTTTGGGTTATTCAAATCAATATACTCAAAGTGAAGTTCTTCTTCTTGTTCTTTGTGTTTCTTTATGCTCCTCTTTTACTGACAGTCGTTGTTTGTGAAGCACGAACAACACCACGTTTTGCTGTCATACTTAACATCATACCCTCCCACTCCCCCTCCCCCCCATAGATTTTCAAGAGAAAATACTGTAAAACATTGAACAACGGACAACAATCAAACAAATCATTAAAATTGACATAGCCAGCAAAGTCAATGATAAGAAAAAATGTGTCTTTTAAAAGAAAGATGGGCATTTCCCGCGGCTTCAATACATAATGACAAACTATTGAAAGCAATGAGAGGATCACCACCGTCATCATAATAACATGAACATTTTTCTCTATCCTCAGCTCATTCGCATGTACCTGGGAGACCTAGTGTTCTACGTTGACCGCAGTCCCTATGATGGCTCTTGTGAAATGGTTCATCGCCGTCTGGCCAAAGTCCGGATGCCTACTTTGGACGAAATGCCAGTGTATGAGATGAGCGACTGGGTTCGAGAGAGGAAGAGACTTTCCACCGTTCTTGGCCCCGAGGAGCTCGATACGATGGACAAGTTCAAACCGTCCATGAACAATCTGGAACAGAAACAGATCATGTACGCTATGCTCTCCGCTACACAAGCCTTTACGGCCTTCAATATCTCCTACTTCATTCGTGGTGGATCTTTACTTGGCTACTGGCGTCACCACGGACGTATGCCATGGGACGAAGACGTGGACATATTGGTAGACAGCGGCAAATGGCCACTAGCGAAACAGGTTCTTTCTTGTCTTCCTGATCTTCAGCTCAATATGGGAGCTGACTACATGTGGAAACTCTTCCACAAGGACGCTCAGTTGTGGCGAGATGAGACTTTTATCAAATTTCCGTATATTGATATTTTCTTGTATAAAGCTGACTCAGGACATGTCTGGCCATTGACTATCTGGATGAAATTGGTCACGATGCCTGCGGAATGGACACTCCCGACCATTAAAGGCGTGTTTGAAGGCTGGCCTGTGAATATTCCTCGTGAACCTATCAAAATTTTGGAGAGACTTTATGGGAGAGTGTCCACGGACTGTTATTCTCAGATTTTCTTGCGGCGCCAAAGGCATCTGATTCCTCGGAAAGAGTGGACTCACATACCCTGCTCCTTGTTGCAAGGGATATATCCCCACGTTGTACGCAGAATAGAGAAGGGTGTGGTTGTTGAAGACAGGATGCTGGGTTCAAAATTTTTGTCTACCTTCAATGCCACCTATCATGGCACTTTGGGCTAAACTATAAAGAGGGATGTGATACTCTAAAACAATAACACAACAGCCGTGCCATCACTATACCGTCCTCAATACTCTTTTCTTCTACATTCGTTTCAAAATCAAGACAAAAGAATTTGTGCTGCTTCAGAGAAGGTTAAATGCCGTTACATTAATGCAGAATGGCACGATCTTACTATAGTGAGTTCTAAGCGATATCTCCAGTTCTAAGCGGTATATCCACGACACGCCTTACCCACCTTACGTTATCTCAGTCTGCAGCGACAGACAAGGCAGAGGCCATGCCTTCTTTGGTACTATCCACGATAGCCACTACAACTTTAGATAAAACGCAAGCAAAGGTAGCATGGCTGATAACAAAAAATGCACGCTTTTCTGGCAGTCCATCTGATATGAAAAATAATGAAGTTGAAGAACTTTAAGAAATGACCATCATCACATCAAGGCTGAACTTTACTTCTCTTGAACGTTTTCATATTTGACAAAAGTAAAAGGCAAAATTATATGACAAATAAAGTTGGAAAAATAGCAACTCTGTCCTGCTGCGTTATATATTATTTCATCCCTCCATGAAGACCAAACTACACAACCGAATAAGAAGGGGAAAAAAGCAGGAACATTATACATTTACTTGCTATTTTGCTCAGCGTTCCTGGCTGATTGGTAGCCTCATTGTTAAATCATAAGTCATGAGTACACTAACGGCACAGTCTTTATTACAGGGACCTAGCAAACTAGAGCAGCCCTTGACATTTGAATATAAATCCTGGGAAATGTTGCTTAAAAGCTTATACATTCCAGTTGTCGGTTACAACTCCTGTCGACACGACTTTCTGTGTTCCTGCTCTATGGTTTGACAGTATTGAAGATGGTACAATAATGAATGTTATTAATATGCTTTATTTTTTTGAAAAATCCAAACTCTAGGGTGCAATTTGCAAATTATTTATAAAGTCCTGAATCTTATTTGATCAGACTGTTTGTATTATCATTGTATACTGCATTCTACACATTGTTCTATTTACTGTTTGTTTATGTTTTTGATTTTTGTTTGCGAAAGGCTGAAACGAATTCAGCAGTACTCATGTATTCCATTCCATTCTGAGACAATATTTTCTTCATCATTCTGTCATTTACGAAACTTCATATTTTCGTATTGTATGAACGGCGTACAGTTTGGCAAATTCGTGTTCCCATCTCAGTTCTCAATTGGGATGCATTTCTGCTCTCGGCGCCTCGAAGGCCACGAAAGAACTTTCGAGGATCTCGATGCTTAAGGTTCAATGAACAGGCAACTGGAGTACAGAGGCAAAAATCTTTCAGAACAAATTTGAGCCGTAACATATTGCCCTGTTACTCCTCATTGTACGCATTTTTGTCTTCCCTAACGCCTTTTTATCCCTACCCTTTAATTCAAATTAAGAATATAGATTAGCAAAATGAGTAAATACTTCACTATAAGATTACGATTCCGTGTGAGTGATCCTCCTACATCGCACAATGTGTCATGATGTGCCCTCTATTCTAATACTGACCCGACTCAAAGTAAGAGAGAAACCTTTCATGATTCTTCCTCGCTCCTTCTTTTTTCGTTCTCCATTATCTCAACGGCGCCGATATTTTTTCCTGGAAAGTTCCACATAATTTATTATTGTGTTAGTGGCCTGGAAAAGTCTGTTAGTTAGTCAGTAATGCTGCTGATTGAACCATTTCCCCTGGATACAGAATATCTCGAAAAGTGCCAATTTTACAGTAACAATTAATTGTTTCGGTTAAGCAAAGGCAGATCGGAGCTCACAGTCTTAATCTATGAGCTTTTATATGAAATTTTTAGCAGTATCGCTATTTTTTGTAAGTGTTAAAACGATGACACATCTGCAGACAATTTCAAAGCATTTTTTTTGGACACCAGTTTATGTATACACCCCTGATGACTAGATGTATGTCCTGTCTTTTTTTTATATTGTCAACTCAGTTCACGTTTATACTGTATGCATGTGTATATTATATAAAACACTAAACTGTGTGATTTTTTTTGTTTTGGCAAGTAACTTTTGCGTACAAAACGATATGAATAAATCATGATTTAAATCAATTAACGTTTGTGCTTTGTAACTAGAGTAGACAGTGAGAGTGTGTGTGTGTGTGTGTGTGTGTGTGTGTGTGTGAGAGAGAGAGAGAGAGAGAGAGAGAGAGAGAGAGAGAGAGAGAGAGAGAGAGAGAGAGAGAGAGAGAGAGAGAGAGAAAGTGAGCACTTTTGCACGATTGTATGCAATCCACATAGTCGTATAGCAAGCAATAGAACATGTTCCTATTGGCTTTTTCACGTTTCATTTTTCTTTTGGATGGTTGGTCTGTCGGTTGTGGCCAGGGGCGTGCTTCTTCGCACTTACCCAATGCCTTTTGGTTACTTTATGGCTAGTCTTTGAATCCCATTCCAGCTAACTGAAACAATATGCTATGGAATTCTCCCGGGATCAAATGCCACATCATCACACTGAACATCCCTCTTTCGGGCTTTTGCACTTTTATAAATGTCTCAAATAAAAGAAATTAATTTCTGGCTTGTACTGAATACAGAGATGCGAACAAAGACTGAGACTGTGTGCTTTGAAATGAATGACAACTTGCTCGCTGATCAAATACATTTCCTTCACACAAAGGTAAATCGGCCAAGGGAATAAGGTAGTGTAGATATCAAACTTGATTACTGTACATGTCAAATCTGATGGTTAAAAAATTATGATAGAACTACAAAAGATAAATAATTACCCCCTGCAGCTGTGATTTATCAAAGCAATATAGCGTTTAAAAAAAAAATGCTAATCAATTCCGCTGGGAAAGGAGCTGAAATTTTCTTTATGAAAGACGTAGCGAACTCATGAATAGTATATCCCGTCAACAATACTGTGACACATTTGAGCCACTGCACATGCATCCGAAACACGAATTTGTATGATATACATACATGCACATACATACACACACACACACAGACACACACACAGACACACACACACACACACACACATAATATATATATATATATATATATATATATATATATAAATATATATATGATCGTCTTGTGATGTTAAGGGTTTTACGGAGACATTTAATATCGCATGAAGTGATTTTGCTTTCATGGGTTTTACTTAATGTCCAGGTCTGGCACTGGTAGCATAATGTTGGTATGAATATTGAGGTGAAAAGCTGTTTTTTGTGTCCATGGAGATTTTTGGATGAGATAGGAGGGGTGCGAGCTGGTAGGTGACAGCGTTGGCTTTTTGAGTTCGCATTTCTATTTCTCTATCTATGGACCCGTTTTCAGAAAAAGTACCTCCAAGATATTTAAACTCCTTCGCCTGTTTCAGTTGTTTACTACTGACACGGATGCTTAGCGGACTGTGGTTTCGGCTCACTTTCATAACTTCTGTTATTTGATATGCTTATTTTTATGTTCAGTTTCTCACAGCCGATGTTCAGTTTGATAGAGTGATTTTGGATGCTTTGTTGGTTTGGCTGAATAAGACATTGGTTGTTTGCGAATAGAAGTTCATCTAGGCTTTCAGGGCTTTGGTTTGCGTCTTGCGTTATTGTGTAAATATACTCGTAAATTATAAAAAGGAGGGGAGATAGAACTCACCCCTGCCGTACTCCAGATCTTACTTTGATCCAGTCTGCATTGCCTTCCTTCGTTCTTATTGAGCTACTACTGTAGGTATATAGAGCTCTAACATTACCATACATTTGTCCTCTGACGTGTGTCTTTAAGAGTTTTGCCTGGTTTACTCTGTCAAACGCTCTCTCCTTGTCTATAAAGACGATGTTGTTGTTGTTGTTGTGTTCGATTGTTTTCTCTCATATCTGCCTTGATGCGAATACAGCTTCCGTGCATCCTCTTCCCTTTCGAAATCCAAACTGAGCTTTGCTCAGATTTCTCTCTACAATACGTCTTATCAGCTGTTCTAATTTCTTTGAGAATATTTTCCCTGCGTGGCTTAATAAAGAGATGCCTGTGTATGTTATACAGCCGGGTTTGTTGCCGTTCTTTTTCCATAATAGGACAACTATGGCTTTCTGCCAGTCATCTGGGCATTTCCTTTGCTCCCAGGCTCTGTTGAAAATTCGTCTTAGCCACAGAACACCGGTGTTTCCACAAGCTCTTATGGCTTCCTCTGTGATGTCATTTGGTCCTGGGGCTTTGTTCTTGGGGCTGATTTTGAGTGCCTTTTTGATTTCACTGAAAAGTATGGGCGGTTCTGTTTGCTCTCCATATGATGGTTGGAACTCTTTGTGTTGTCCGTGGCAAGCGTCTGGGTTGAGTAATTATTGGAAGTAATTTTCCCCCTTTTTTCTTAATGGCATGCTTGCTGAGAATGTCCTGACACATATGTTTTCCATGCATTTTCCTTAGCAGTTTTGATGATTCTTTTTGGTCTCTCTTCTCGCTTTCCTTGCTTCTTTGGTTTTGTCATTCAATAAGCATGTTGTTCTGCCGTTGTTTCCGCCTATTTATTTGGTGCCACAGCTGTTTTTTTTAGTAATTCTGACAGAGATTTTTAAAATGTTTACCTTTAGTCTTCTACGTCTTTGGTCTCAGCTTATAGTACCCCTTGGTAATGTCGTTCTCGATTGCATTTTTGATGTCTGGTTCTTCAAATTTTCTTAGGTTAGTCGTGGTTTTTCCCCAGTTCTTCTTTTCTTTTTTTTTTTTTTTGCTTTACATTGCTGGTTGTGAGAGTAAGTGTCATAGGTCTGTGGTCTGTGTCGATGATGTAGTTTGGAACTGATTTGGCTTAGTTTGTATTAGAAAAATGTGTTCGTAATCATCATATCGTGCTCAGCGCCTAGGTATAGTATAATTTCTCCATTGCTGTGGCAGTCTGTATCTTTATCACTGTAGGGTCCCAAGTACTCTTCCCAGGGGTTTCTTATTTGTACAACTATGCCATTTAAATCTCCCTACATAAATATATCTTTTTTGTTCTTGGTGGTGTTAATGTAGTAACTCAGGTCTTGGAAATATGATTGTCTATCTTCCTTTGTATAGCTGTTGCTACAAGGAGCGTATGTTTGGAAATATGTTGTTGTTTTGCTACCCTCTATGAGCTTTATGCTCACTATTCTCCCTGAGATCCTCTTCCGTTTGAATCCGTCCGTGTGATCTCTTTTGTTTGTCTCGTAGCATGATTTATCCGCCTCCGGCTAGCCAGGCCAGTCACGGTTACACCAGAGCCCCTTACTTTAGCCAGCAACGTTTCGGGGTGACCTGGGTCAGCTTTTACGGATAGCGTAACGCCTCAGTGGCATACAGGCCCTCTTTATCTAAGGGCCTCAAAATGTAGAACGAAGGTCAAGAATAACTATCAAAATAAATATCACAAATGTGCATCAGAACATAGTAATTGTTCAAGCATGCTTCTCTATATTACCAGTTAACACTCATTACTCGAGTGCATTCTATTAATCCCCCCCCCCCCCACACACACTTTTGAGTCTTAAAAATTTGAAAGCTGAAGACAAAAATATCGCATCATAAATAGTAGGTCTGAGCATTTTTCATGCCTCAGGGCACGGCTTTACACTACAGTACGGTTCGCTGCGCATTGGTTCATGTCAGGCCATGCCGTTCACGTTGTGACTTGCTCAACCCGGAATGCAGTACAGCTCTACTTTATGTTCATTATTCATATTCGGCTGAGTGATAAATATGCCATTACGCTGAATGAGTTTTGCGGAAAACTGAAAAGATATACAGTACTGTGTAGTTCTGAGCTTTTGTTTGTAGCATTTTGCAGTACTATAATTTTATATTATAAAAGATGATGTTAATCAAGTTAATCAAAGATATTGTTCTAAAGATAGCGTCCTACCTCGGGACAAAACCACAACATCGAAAGTACTAGATTGTTTTAAACGCTGATTCAGAAGTTTAAGATGTGGGGATGCTTCAGGGGGCTCTCGTGGTCTAGAGGTTAAGGTGTTCGACTTTCATCCAATAAGTTCCGGATTCGAATCGGGATGGCGGCAGAAAATTTTCTTCTCTAAAATTGTATCCTTTCACATCCTTTCCTGCTCTCTTACAATGTTCTGTCGTCTGCTTTCATCTCCACTTTCTGCCCCCACCCCCTCACTTTCTTTGTCCCCTCCTCTGGGCTCTTGGCTCTTTCTGCAGCCTTTCTACTACTACTCCCTGGCTCCTTACTGTTGTCTTTCAGCCACACCCCAAATCTTAGGGTAGGAAAGAATGATGTATACCTAGCGTTCTCGGACAAGGGCGAAAAATCCCGGAGGTCATGTATGCCTGTTGCACACGTTAAAGATCCCTTGGTCATCCAAAATCGATAAGAGTAGGTTTCGGAATTCAAAATTTCCTACCAACTGGGTGAAAGTGTTAAATGTGTCCCTCACGCTCGTATGACATTATAATATGCAGTTGCGAGCGCCGTAAAACAATTACTAAAAAAGGAAGAAAGAAAACAAAGGAGATCTGTCAGCATTTGTGGACGAGGATCAAAAAGATGATGGAGAATTATTTGACGTCATTCCTACCCTGTCTGATGCGTCGATGGAGGCTGTATAACTTCATTTTGGGGCGGCTTGACATGCTGGCATATAATCATCCTGTAACAAAGGCGGATCTTGTTTTGTCATTATCTGTTTTGGTCTTAGTATGGGCCCATTTCTTTTTGATTGGCAAATATCGTAATATTCTAATATTTACTGTCTTGTGAATTAAGTTCAGAATTGTACATTTTCTGATAATGATCTTGGCTGAAGTACCGCTTACTGGAGGAATATCAGATGGATGCTAGTACGATGTCATCAGGTTCAAAGTCCCAGTTATAGGGACGGTTCCTGTACAGGGATCCCCTATGCTGTTAGCCTTCTCATTCTTTTGTCCAAGCCAGGTGGAACTCTTACGGAAACATTTACTGTACCATTATCTTTTAATAAT